TATAACCGTGTGTGTGAATAGACTGTGGTCACAGGTTAGGCCTGGGACTAATTCAGTGGGTGTTCTTCTAGTTTCTGAGCACAGGACCAACTCTTTAGGGGCAAAACCCGTGCCAAGAACAGCATGCCTTGGCTGGATTCCTTCTTGCATCAAAGACTCATTCTTCTCCTTAAAAATAGCTTTCTTCCCCTTAAAAGGAAGCAACAGCTTAATTTAAACCTAATGAAAATAGGAGGACCAGCATGGTGACTTGCCTGCTCCCTCTCTTCCAAGCTGCTTTGCAAGAGACTTGGGACCAGATCAAAATGCTGTCAATCGAACATGCCAGCAGGGCTGTGCGCATGCTTGCTCTGCAGCAAATATGAGGTCACGCAATTTAGGCATAATTTGGCGAGCAATGTTTTAGCAGCTCTGACGGCCTAAGAAATGACATCCCCCAACCCACTCTTCCTACCCTGTGCCAGCACATGTGCTTCAGCGGCTGTGATGGGAGCCAGACAGGGCAACTAATGCAGCGGGAGAAGAACCCTCCCCGCCTTTTTTTCCTGCTCAGTTATTTTTTAGCTGGATCAGTTCCTCAGTCTGATTCACTTCACAAAAGCCTTGGTCAGATCAGGACAAAGACATAAGCGCAAGCGTGGAAGAACCAACTGGGGCAGACAGGAACAGCTTAACCTCGCTGGTAGAAGAAGTTCTGCAGCCAAATGTCAGACCACAGCTTCAGCATAGCCGGCAGGTTGAAGATTTGAATTACATGAGACGGAGAGAACCCCAAAGTATAGGTGCTCCTAAGGTGACATGCAGAACTATCATTTTCTCAGCTTAGCCAGCACTAAAACTCCCATCAGCTTTGCAGGGCCAGGACTGCACTCTGGCTCTCCCTGACAGCCCTGTAGTTAAGTATTCCTCCCTGGACTGCTCCCTGCACAACTCTGCATCTTGCTAGACTTTGCTTCCAGCAGATTTCAGGCAGCGTTTTAAATCCCTTCCAGTTGCCTAGGATTGAAGAGTGTTCATGGGTACCTTTCTTTCAGAGAAATAGAGGTTTCCTTCCCTTTTTTAGTTTCAACCATAACCACACTTCAGCCTTTGCAAATTTTTGTGGAGAGCCTTGGATGTCGGTATTTATATGAAAATGCATGGCAAAGATGCAAGAGACTGTAGTTAAGGTGCTAGTCTGACACTTGGGAGAATCTGAATTCAGACCTCACCCTGCTACAGATTCCGCATGTGACCTTGTCCAAAGTGCTTAATCTCTCCATGCCTTCACTTGCCGGTTGTAAAACGGAGAAAGCTATCACTGCTTTTGGACTTTAATCTCCTCAGACCTATGCCCAGTCCAGATCTGGATGGGATTTCTAAACCCTGCTGCTGTCTTATGACTATACCCTGTTTTTCTCCAACCTCCTGCTCTAGCACGTCCATGCTTGTAGCCCTAGTAAGATGCCTAGTGAGTGCCTGCTATGGCACTGCATTAAGCCACAGAGCCGTCTTCTCCTCACCATCACCCCTTCTCTCCTCAACTTCACCCTATCTACATGCAAGAGTTGCAAAAACAAGAGCACAGACTCAAAAGAAAATATCAGGCGATTCAAGAAGAAGTATCTG